CAATCTTATGAATTGGCGGAGATATTTTAATAGAGCAACTGGTTATACTGTCTGGCCAATCTTATGAATTGGCGGAGATATTTTAATAGAGCAACTGGTTATACTGTCTGGCCAATCTTATGAATTGGCGGATATATTTTAATAGAGCAACTGGTTATACTGTCTGGTCAATCTTATGAATTGGCGGATATATTTTAATAGAGCAACTGGTTATACTGTCTGGCCAATCTTATGAATTGGCGGATATATTTTAATAGAGCAACTGGTTATACTGTCTGGCAAATCTTATGAATTGGCGGATATATTTTAATAGAGCAACTGGTTATTCTTTCTGGCCAATCTTATGAATTGGCGGATATATTTTAATAGAGCAACTGGTTATACTGTCTGGCCAATCTTATGAATTGGCGGAGATATTTTAATAGTGCAACTGGTTATACTGTCTGGCCAATCTTATGAATTGGCGGAGATATTTTAATAGAGCAACTGGTTATACTGTCTGGCCAATCTTATGAATTGGCGGAGATATTTTAATAGAGCAACTGGTTATACTGTCTGGCCAATCTTATGAATTGGCGGATATATTTTAATAGAGCAACTGGTTATACTGTCTGGCCAATCTTATGAATTGGCGGATATATTTTAATAGAGCAACTGGTTATACTGTCTGGCCAATCTTATGAATTGGCGGATATATTTTAATAGAGCAACTGGTTATACTGTCTGGCCAATCTTATGAATTGGCGGATATATTTTAATAGAGCAACTGGTTATACTGTCTGGCCAATCTTATGAATTGGCGGATATATTTTAATAGAGCAACTGGTTATACTGTCTGGCCAATCTTATGAATTGGCGGATATATTTTAATAGAGCAACTGGTTATACTGTCTGGCCAATCTTATGAATTGGCGGATATATTTTAATAGTGCAACTGGTTATACTGTCTGGCCAATCTTATGAATTGGCGGATATATTTTAATAGAGCAACTGGTTATAATGTCTGGCCAATCTTATGAATTGGCGGATATATTTTAATAGAGCAACTGGTTATACTGTCTGGCCAATCTTATGAATTGACGGATATATTTTAATAGAGCAACTGGTTATACTGTCTGGCCAATCTTATGAATTGGCGGATATATTTTAATAGAGCAACTGGTTATACTGTCTGGTCAATCTTATGAATTGTCGGATATATTTTAATAGAGCAACTGGTTATACTGTCTGGCCAATCTTATGAATTGGCGGAGATATTTTAACAGAGCAACTGGTTATACTGTCTGGCCAATCTTATGAATTGGCGGATATATTTTAATAGAGCAACTGGTTATACTGTCTGGCCAATCTTATGAATTGGCGGAGATATTTTAATAGAGCAACTTGTTATACTGTCTGGCCAATCTTATGAATTGGCGGAGACATTTTAACAGAGCAACTGGTTATACTGTCTGGCCAATCTTATGAATTGGCGGTAGATATTTTAACAGAGCAACTGGTTATACTGTCTGGCCAATCTTATGAATTGGCGGTAGATATTTTAATAGAGCAACTGGTTATACTGTCTGGCCAATCTTATGAATTGGCGGAGATATTTTAATAGAGCAACTGGTTATACTGTCTGGCCAATCTTATGAATTGGCGGTAGATATTGATAAAACATCCTGCATGGTATTCCGTTTGGCCAATCTGTGAAAAGCTGCTGGGTACTTTTAGTTTAAAGTGAGCTCGCGTAGTTGGTCTTAACCCAGAAGAAAAAAATGTTTACAGCTTTATTTTACTATAGATTTACAAAAAAAAATTGTTACAGATATAAATATGCGGAAATACATTTTTAGTAGCTATGTTTTACGAAAACTGTGTCTTAAAAAAGTAACATTACGTAATGCGATGTGATGTTTTTTTTCCGGTCTTTGAAATGACAAACCCTTTCTGCACCGTAGGACGAAATAAATTAATAAATTAAGTTATTTTTTTCATAAAATAGCTCAGTCTACTCCTCTTAATGTTCTGCCGACAATGAAAGGCGTCCGTCCTAAGGCCACACAGTTGCCATCAACCTGCTGACTTAATTAGTGAATTGAGAGAAGAAATAATACACTTATGGATTCAATTTTAACTTTGAGTGAAAACATAATTACTCCTACTAGTTAAGCTTAAACAATAATAAAATTAGTAATACTAAGTGTAGAAAAAAAATATATGTTTGAAATTATTGAAAGTCGAATTATTCGGTAATTTATTTAGAATGCTGTTGGTTGTTGTTTTTGTTTGTTTTTTTTGTTGCAAACAAACCACCCAACATTGTGGGCTTGACCAACAAGTTTTTTGTTGTTGTTTTTTTTTAATACAACCTTTAAAATATTTGATTCCACAAAAGTGTTTAATACAACAACAACAAACAAACAAAACAAGGAAAAACAAGTCAACTAGAAAACTTCAACGAAATTATATAAAAAACATAATACCAATATTCTGTACACACCCGACAAAGCTTTCAAAATAGGTTCACTTTAATGGAATACACTTCCCAAGCACCGCGGTTGGTTAACCGTGAAGCAGCGTGTGCCAGTGTCTACTTAATATTTCTATTCAACCAACATTCCTTAAATACAGGCGCCCATGTCATGACTGACATTCCCGAATAAGCCCAAACAAATATGGGTGCCAAGTCGCATGAACACGGGTACTTGATAAAAATAGGAATGACTTCAAATGTCAAATGATATCGCTGAATTTGAAACTAAAAAAAAAATGCCCAAATCTGCAAGGCCTTAATAATACACTAAGTTATTTGCAGGAACCTAAAATAGATTTTCAAATAAATGACACGGACAATCCTATGCTATTGAAATCATTTCTGGGAATTCAGATTTGGGCTTTAACGTTATATGACATACGGGGTGTCCCACTAAAGCGGCGGTTCTCAACCTGTGGGACGCGACCCTTTTGGGGGTCGCGCGACCCGTTGCCAGGGGTCGCCTAAGACCACCTGAAAACACATATCCTTACAGCTATGAAGTAGCAACGAAAATAAATGTGTGGCTGGGGGTCGCCACGACACGAACAACTGTATTAAAGGGTCGCGACACCAGGAAGGTTGAGAACCATTGCACTAAAGAATGATTCCACGTACTCAGAGATAAGATTTATTCCACTATTAAGTATTAATACATTGTTTGGCTTTTATTTTCATATTATTTTTGATGTATGTTGATTAAAGATTATTTTATTTTGTTTCGTCCTTTCTATTCTCATCGGTTCATTTATTGACAGCTTTATTTTCAATCAACTCTCTTCCTTTCACTTTGGCTTTCTACCTCATTCTCTTTGTGTCCAAACGTTCTCCTTCTCTCTATCTCTCTCCTTGACTTCCCTAGCTTTTTTCTTTTGTTGCTTTTTTCTTCTTTCTCATAGTCTCTCATTCTGTATGCTCTGTACCTTCTCAAACTCTTGTTTCCCTCTAATTTTTTATCTCCCCTCCCCCCCCCCCAAACCTTTTTTCAATACTATAGTTATACCATTTTAAGGATCTTAATTAATTGTGTACAGCGGGATTTTGTTATCAGAAACTTCACTCAGTCCTAGATTAAATCATCTCATAAACGCAAAATGCGTCCATTAAAAGGATGTTCAGCTGTAGATTTAATGTTTGTGATAATCTCTTATATATATTTCCGGATAGCGCGCAAAATATAATTCCCGATAACTACGCTATATGATTTTTTTTTTTAAAGTTTGAAGCATAATATTTTCTTTCTTTTAGAAAAATGAAATCGTCTCAATTAAAATATGTTTTAAAAATATTTGGGACATCAGAATATTAACATGGTTCATGGGCATGAAATAAAAAGTGCGCAATGACGTATCATTAGAGGGGGGGGGGGTGTAAGGAGTGTAGCGAAAATTGGGATTCTTAAATGTGCGTTACTTAAGTTAATGTTTTGTCAAATAAATTTAGTAGATGGGAAGTACACGCATAACCGAAACGAAACGAAACCACCGCGTTCGTAGCTAAAGCAAATACGTTGTTCTTCCTTTCGAGTTTGTGGTTTACAGTTTTGATGATGATATTCTTCTGATGACGTCTCAATTGTTGACACCTCTAGTCTGCAGATTTATCACAACATTCATATTATGAAAATAACTTAAAAAAAATTAATATTATTTCCAATATAAATTATTCCAAGCTTAGGGCTAACAAATAAATATGATTAAGTCGAGTGCACCTCCTATAAACGGATTTAAAAAAATATTAATAAAATTGATATAATTTAATTAGCATAACGATAATATTTGGTTCAAAATGAGCAATCATAGACGAAAGAATTCTGCGTGTGACCCCAAAAAATTGTTTTTTTTTTTTTTTTTGAATGAAGGCACAAAAGAAAATTAAATCCTGGTTTTTTAATAACCACCATCACAATGAGCATCTAGACTCATTTATGGAGTTATTCATTCTTTATTTTAAATAACCACCATCACAATGAGCATCTCGACTCATTTATGTAGTTATTCATTCTTTATTTTAAATAACCACCATCACAATGAGCATCTCGACTCATTTATGTAGTTATTCATTCTTTATTTTAAAAAAAACCACCATCACAATGAGCATCTCGACTCATTTATGTAGTTATTCATTCTTTATTTAAAAAAAAACCACAATGAGCATCTCAACTCATTTATGTAGTTATTTATTCTTTATTTTAAATAACCACCATCACAATGAGCATCTCGACTCATTTATGTAGTTATTCATTCTTTATTTTAAATAACCACCATCACAATTAGCATCTCGACTCATTTATGTAGTTATTCATTCTTTATTTTAAAAAAAACCACCATCACAATGAGCATCTCAACTCATTTATGTAGTTATTCATTCTTTATTTTAAATAACCACCATCACAATGAGCATCTCGACTCATTTATGTAGTTATTCATTCTTTATTTTAAAAAACCACCATCACAATGAGCATCTCGACTCATTTATGTAGTTATTCATTCTTTATTTTAAATAACCACCATCACAATGAGCATCTCGACTCATTTATGTAGTTATTCATTCTTTATTTTAAAAAACCACCATCACAATGAGCATCTCGACTCATTTATGTAGTTATTCATTCTTTATTTTAAATAACCACCATCACAATGAGCATCTCGACTCATTTATGTAGTTATTCATTCTTTATTTTAAAAAACCACCATCACAATGAGCATCTCGACTCATTTATGTAGTTATTCATTCTTTATTTTAAATAACCACCATCACAATGAGCATCTCGACTCATTTATGTAGTTATTCATTCTTTATTTTAAAAAACCACCATCACAATGAGCATCTCGACTCATTTATGTAGTTATTCATTCTTTATTTTAAAAAACCACCATCACAATGAGCATCTCGACTCATTTATGTAGTTATTCATTCTTTATTTTAAAAAATCAAAGGACTTCGGCTTCGAGAGTCTACTTTTGTACTTAAGAAATAAATAGAGTTTTTTTTTTCCTTATTATTTTTGGAAGAGGAAAACAAAAACAGTTGTTTGATCCTTAAACCTCGGTTTTAATTCAGAATTCAATTTAAATTTTTTTTTTTTTTTGCTCCTGGTAGACCTTAATTTTTACGATTACATCTGTTCCAGGCCAGTTCATCTAAGCGGCACAGTTTCAAAGCTACCGCCCTAAAGCACTTTATATCACCTAATCAATACCTGCTATTGATTTGTTACACAGAGAGCAGAAATAGATCTGGTATATGCAGATAATGTTATCTGACACGACAGATTGTGACATACGGGGAACCACAGAGATTAAAAAAAACAGAATTTTATATGAATAATCTAATTGTATTAAAATCAATACAAGTTATTCTTTACAATAAAAGAAAATTACATATAGATCTGACCAAGGCATCAAACCTGGTAAGTCTACTTTTACTTTTATTTCAAGGATGTACATCACTTCGCATTGAATTCTGCATGCTATCATTTTCGCTTTTATACAATTTCGGTGAAGCCTTCTCACTATAAAAAATGTTACATTCCATAATCACTTATTTGGTTTAGATTCCGCGGCAAAATGATGAATGTAACAATTACATTGTAAAAAAATTTTTATTGACATTTAGCATTCAACTGTAGAAGCGATATTTTATTCTGCTGCCATCAGTTCCAATATCTTGAAACTGAGCTAATAATGACCTCATTAGCCTAAAATTGACTTTATAAACATATTAATGACCTTATAAGCAAAATCAGCGACTTTTATAAACACGAAGTGCTTTTTAAAAGAAAAATGCAATTGATGACGTACTATTTTTCAACAATTTCATCCGGATTTTAAATCAATTTTGGATTGAAGTCTTTTACGATCTTCATCAATGTGTCATATTCCAGACATGAAAATAACATCAGTCAAAAGAATGTAGACCTGTAGATCGCATGTTGGTTTTGTTAACATGATCCCACGACCCTGAATTTCGATAGCATAACCCAGTTATGAAAGCATAAATAATTATGAAAGCATAACCAAATTTTGATAGTATAGCTCAAAAATTAATTTAAACAAGCGAATAAAAAAATCCGTGGAAGATGAAGTAAACCATTAATAGCATCAGGAAAATTGCTCTCTAGAAAACAATTCAAAATATTAGGGCCAAATACTTTAAACAGATCAAATCCTTAAATGAAATCAATAATAACAGGAAAAAAACAATAACAGAAATTAAATACAATTGATTTTCAACTGATATATTTTGTTCTGAAAATATACATTAATTTTTCTAAAAGAAAAGTTGATGTAACAAGTTGAGAGGACGCCATTTTGTGTACATGGAAATATTTTCAGGTCAACCGAGGTCAAAAATATCCATCTGAATTTAAAATGGATATTTTTGGGTCATCGATATTAACACCTCATATTTTAGTAAATTTAAAAAATACATAACAAAGAAATTATTGCGTTTTTTTTTCTTCAGTTTTGGTTTTCATTAAATTACACAACTAGATCAGTGAACATGATAATGAAAAAATGTTGATCCAGTTAAAATAAAAAAAATTAAAGCTCAATATGATTGTCCTCCATTTGTCGATAAGCCCATTTTGGTACGTCTTGTTGCCAGAGTTGTCTAATTTGGTTTTTCCAGTTTCTCTTGACTGTGGGTCTGGTATTAAAATCCAGATAATACCTGCCCACCAGGTCGTAGATTGGCCATCCCGTGGGTATGGATGTTAAAAGGGGGTTTTCAGGATTCCTGGGAAGAATAAAAGAAGAAATGTTCAATATTTAATTTTATTTATGAATACATATTAAGTTCAGAAATTAGTGTCATTAATTTTTTTTTATTTAAAGAAGATATAATGGATGGCACAGTTAGTTAATCTTTTCTCAGACGACCAAAAGGCAAAATCTTTCAAAAAGTCTCGGTAAAATAAAATATTTAAATTAATCACTTGTAAAATTCAATAATAAATAATTTAGTTCACAAAATCAGACTGAACATTTTCTAAAAAATCTAGAACTAAATTTGGGCGTCTGAAATTAAAATATAAATATTAAATGTTTTCGAAAGATATATCATTTTAAATACTAAAAAGGTTTTTACCCATTTTGCACAAAAGATGCGACAATAGAAGAAAACAGTTTCTTCAATTCATCATCCTCTTTTTGAAACTCCCCAGTCATAAATGGTCCGTAATTTTGACGTAAATCATGAATCTCCATATCGAACAAATACAGCAAGTCTAAATTGAAAATCATTCCACGAAAATCCTCTTTTAGGAATTGTGGGTAGTGGTTGAAGTACAGGAACCAGACACTCGTCTTTCTGCTTCGGGCTATTGTGTCCAGAATGTCTTGTGTTGGAATCGTGAACATTAAATCTGTCTGCATCGCTAAATTTGATAGCACGTGTGAGTTCGTTTCATACCAATTAAGTACTTCTGACGCCAAATCATCTGTCACGCTCTCAATATTCAGGTGATCAGCAATGAAGCTCTTTGCATGGATTAAAAAAAATACTTCCCAAAACTCATCGCTCTCGAAAAGCTCGTCATTAAAAGATTGAAATGCATTGAAAAAACCTTTAGCCACTGTATCGTGTTTATTATTGCTGATAGTTATAAAGTATTTCTTTTCATAAAAACCAATGTCTTCTAAGTAATTGTCGTCTTTGAGAAGGGCTGAAATTGATTTCGGTAAGAACGAGCCGTCTGTTACCGGAAGAAAACCTCGCCACATCTTCTCATCAATTTCATTGAAGTAGTCCGCCTTGGAGTCGTCTAACGTTGGCAAAGAACGTAAGCATTGAATGATGTCAAGTTTATCGCCCAAGTTCAAATCAGTCGTATTTTTATCGTGCCAGCAGTTTAGTGTCTGGGCAAAATTAATGATTTTCTCGTCCGATTGTTCAGCTTCTTTATCCGAAAACCCTTTCATCCCATCTTTTGCGAAAACCTTCGTAAACAAACCTTTTGTCGTTGGGGTCAGTGCGAGAATTCCCTCGTTATCAAACCCACCAAATGTGACATCATCTGCGTCTCCTCCAAATGCACCTATGTTGTTTTTTACCCACTCGAGTGCAAGAACTTGATCCCATAATCCGTAGTTTCCATTGATACCCGCAGATTTGATAGCTAAATATCCAAACGGGCCGTCCCTGTGCTGAACGGACACAATTATGATGTCATGGTCCGTGACAAGACTACCGTAACGAAACGCGTCCGTGCTCTGGGTGTAGACGAGTACTTTCTTCTTAACTGCCAGATTCGTGTTTATATCTTTGAGGAATATATTTAGATAAAGGCAATCTTCCGATGATTTATATTTTGATGACAGGTACCTTATGCAATATGGCGGCTGTTCTCTGGCATCGATGGTGTCTCCTGAAAATTCAATTAAAACATTTTTCATTGTTGGAAATTGTAAGACTTTGTCATGCTGTAAAAATGTCCGTGAGTCTTTTGAAATTTATATGTGACTAATCCGTCTTTCTTAAAACGTTTAGATTATAACTGCAATAAATAAGATTATATATATATCATGCATGTTATTTCAGAGTTTGACTTGTAATTTCTTCGTGGGCCAATTACAAATAAAAATAGCATTTGAAGGGTGGGCAATAAGAATGTGTTAATGCTTTGTTCGTAACACACTTATCAACAGAACTATATGTGCTGTTCCGAATCTTCTCGTGCAATAAACTCACCATTAAGATCTCAAAGGCCAATCTTTCCTACTTGCTCAACTTGTGGTAGGATATGTTCCTATTACATTAGCGAATTGTCCTAACACAACCCTGTAGACTCCTTATCAGCTATGTTTATATATATATATATATATATATATATATATATATATGTGTGTGTGTGTATTTTTTTATTGTTAGATAGTAATATGTAGACCTAGGGAGCTAAGGTTTTGAATGTCATGTCTTCTATAATGCAGGCTGATGTCCTGACCACTTCTGTGGCCCTCTGGGGCTCAATTTCTATTTATAGCTTTTAACTTCGGGACCACTGAAACGACTTACTGGTTTGAATTGATGTCAAGTATTATAAAGGTGCCACAGTTTAGAGATACTTGGCACTTATGGAAATATCAAGTTTTCTTAAGTATCTATCTTATTTATCTTTATAAAGACTTTTTTAAGTTAAAAATTTTGCACTCAGCAGAATAGATTGAAGCTTTAAGTAAAAGATAAACTTAAATTTTAACGTGAAGAAATTTAAAATCCCCCCTCCCCTCCCCAAATCCAAACCACAAAAAAAATAAATAAACGCACACATTATTAGCGTGATAAAATAAATAGCATGTTTGGGTCTCGGTCCAAGCTTGGATCCCCTCAGCCCGCTTAACACATTTTAAATCCTATCAAGAGTAAAAGATTCGGAGTGCGCATAGCTATAGTGGCAACTTGTGGACCGGACTCTTAGACAATCGTTAGCTTTTAAGGATTCAAATTTATCTGAAGGATTCTTTTAGGGCCCCTTTTAATTGAAAACTTAAACGATATCTTATGGTCCTTGAACCTGACGAATTGTTTGTCATTGAATTGTTTCGTCGATAAAGTGTCAGACGATGAAATGGATGTCGATTAAGTGACCAGCCATAACCAATTCAATGTTCAATTGTCAAAAGGATATATTGAATAGTTAATTGTTTTAAATACGCCACCCCCCCCCCTCTCCCCGTAACAAATAATATGACGCCCTGTGGACTATATGTTTTGTTAGACAGGGGTCCGTGTAATCCTGGGAAAAGCCGGGTATTTTGGCGAGAAAGATACGAATGAGATACGGTCTGTTTACATGTAAATTACTTTGCACGTGGTAAGTGAATATTATTTCTTGCGCATTATTTTAATTTATTTACTTATAACTAATTATTTTAATTCACTAAGCATTTTTTTAAAAAAAACTTTTTCTGTGTGTGTATTTTGTGTAATATAGAGCTTTAAATGAAAATGTACCTTGTTATAAAATTGTTTTAGTATAAAAATAATTCTGCTCTTAAATTATTGACAAAATGTCCATCAAGTCCGAGCGGAAGTGTTACAGTAATATACACAACTAAATTAATAACAGGAATACTGGGAGTTTTCGAGTTGAATAAAAATGAGTTCGTATTTTCATCGCCAGGATCTTTAAAAAAAAAATTATTAACGCAACATGAAGAAATATATTGTGTGCTCAATTTATGAGCACAACATGAAGATATATACTGTGCTCAATTTATGAGCACAACATGAACATATATATTTTCTTCAAAATTGTATCAGCAATATTCTTTGAAGAAGAGTATACGAAAATTTAAGCTATTGAAAAAGTATATATCATTTACTTTAATTAAAAATTTAAAGAAATAAAAACCGTGATAAGTACAACTCACTTGCTCTTGGATAAGGTACTGGCTTGGCAAAGCGTAGTCTTCCTACGGGAGGCATGGCGTAACGGATACCACGAAATGACCAAAGAGACTTGCCGTTCACTGCCGTGACCTTAAGTCCTCTCACCTTCCCTACATTTGTATCGACAATATCATGGTCTGCGCTCTGTGTCACCACTCCAGCGAATAAAAGTATTGATATGAAAAGGGTCGGAGCTTTCATTTTTTTTTTTTTTTTTAAATGTAATCTGAAAATACAATATGTCATTTTTTAATGGAAAGGTAATAGTGTACTGCTTATTAAAATAAATTTGTTGGACCCTTTTTCTTTGGTCTAAAAAATCTAAAAAGATCATGTTACTCATATTAATTATTCAAAACAATGAAGTCTTCATCTGTCGTAAAAAGAAATTTCGAAGAAAAAAATATCTGCTCCTTTTAATTCATTTGAGAAAATGTATAAATTTATTTATATTTTCTTTTTTTTTTCTTTGAGAAACCTTTGAACAAATGCAAACTTTTGATATATTTAAAATAACACAATCAGAACATAGTTTAAATATGGGAGAGAAAAAAAACTTCTTGATCTCCGTTTGTTTGTAAGATACTTGTTTGATCGCACATCTTTCCTATTTGAAATCGATCCTGGTGAGACAGCGTAATAAACGGCACTGATTTCATGCAGTAACACATCAGATAGGGTTAAAATGGAAAATAAATTTATTCAGCTGTTTGGCACCATATCTCCATATGGCATTAATCAAATAATATATTTCCCTATATTTCATCTATTTTCTTATTGCTGTGTGTTGATGTATCCCTGGATATTCTGGTCCATTATTATTGTGGACTTAATTTTTCACAGTGTCAATATTTATATTCTCTCGCTTCCTGTTTTCCCACTTCCGGAGACACGAATGAATACTGCTGGAGTTGTCAACTGTGCTCTTTTCTTTGTTATATTTTCATTTCAATTGTTGGCTGAGGAAGGCTTTATGCCGAAACGTCCTTGTTTTTTGTCCTGTTATCTTATTTCAAGCTTCCACATACCTCGTTTCGCTATTTCATTCATTTAATAAACCTACTTCAGGCCAACACTATTTGGTGACACATTTAATACTTTTTACTATTGCTCTTTAAATTTAATATTATCAATTCCCAACTGATCAGGGATAGGAAAAGGATTGACCGCTTTGTCATTAAAAATTTTAGGTATTATTTTTGCACACTATAATTTAAAAATTCTATTTATTACAATTCGTTTGTCTTAAAAACCAAACATTGAAAGAAACATTACTACCACTTGAAAAACAAAATGTAAACTTTTTTTTTTTCTAAATTATGAAATTAGTTTTGTATTTTATTTTAGCATGTTTTCTCTTTATATGTAAACCAAACCACTGTCCCTACCTTCAACGACAGCGAGTCCACACAACAAACCAGTCTGAATTAAACAACCACTGAATTATTCTCATCGATATGGTATTTATTACAACAAAGAAGCAGGCAAACTCCAGAGAAATATCAGATATCTCCAAAACACCACAAATACTGAACATACGCGACAATTGTTAAATAAACGTCCGACTTGATAAAAATGCGTCTCCCAAATGCTACAAGTGGCCGTTTCAGCAAAGAGAAGTTGTTCCCATTAGATATATATACAGATATATATCAAGGCACCATGCACACATGTCATATGTGATATTCCCGATTGACTAAAACAAATCTTCGTGATATGCAATTTAATGACGTGGTTTGATAAGAAATGGCAAGGAATTCAATTTTACATATAAAATCAATCAGTTCGAAGAAATCGATGATAGTATTTGTAAAGGATTTGTAAAACACTACCTTGTAAGTTCTGCGCGTAAAGTGAATCGAAGGTAATGTCTATTAAATAGACAGCATTCCTGTTATGTGGACTGCTGTCTTTATATCCAGGCCTACTTAGAATCAGTCCCTAAGATTATTTGTCCTATGGAGTTTCTTAATAACGTTGATCCCATTTCCAGAGACAGCTTTTACAGCAAAAAACATTAATAAAACAGCTTTTATCTTAAAGTTTCTTTGTTATGTTGATGTCTCATTACGTATCGTTTTTTGCTGTCCAATTAACTTGCAAATTTAACAGAATTATTTTTAATGGATTCTTTTTCTCTAACTCTCTCTTTCTGACTTACTCTCATTCTCTACAAATTGTCACTATCCCATATCACCTCTCCCTCTCTCTCTCTCTCTCTCTCCCTCTCTCTATCTCTCTCTCTCTCTCTCTCTCTTCATGTTCCCATGTGTCTCGCCTCTCCCTTTTTCTCTCCACTTTCATTTCCTGTCTTTCAAAAAAAACTCCCGGTTTATGTCTCTCACTCCGTCCCCGCCTCTCTCTCTCTCTGTCTGTCTGCCTCTCTCTCTCTCTCTCTCTCTCTCTCTCTCTCTCACTCACTCACTGTCTGTGACGTTATATACTCTACCATTTATTTGAACCATTAGGTTGTCCTTAGTTCACCGTGTTCAAGGATTGTGTTCTTATTGTTTCAACCTGAACTCATTTATGCCGTTACTTTTCATGATTTTGTAAATCGAAGGACCAAACTTGTCAAGACGTCTATGCTTTGTAACTTGAGACAGAAAGACAATTACTTTCTTTTTTATGTAATACAAAATAAAAAAAGAACTACAATCAAATATTAAGTTTGTATTTTTGCACATGGTTTATGTTATGAATCATTTTAGCATTTGGTCAAGATGGTTAACCCAAGTTTTACCACTTCTTGTAGTTGACCAGGAAACCCAGGAAACTCAATCGTTTTTTTTTTTTTTTTTTTTTTTTTTTTTTTTTTTTTTTTTTTTTTTTTTTTTTTTTTTTTTTTTTTTTTGTTTTTTTTTTTTTTTTTTTTTTTTGATTTCTTAACCCAAATAATGGGGAACACATTAGAAATAAGTTTATAATAAGAGCTGATATGACAGATGGTGGCATTCTTTATAAACATGACGCATTTAACGGACATTTTTTTTTTTTTTTTTTTTTTTTTCTTTTTTTTTTTTTGTTTTTTTTCTTCTTTTTTTTTTTTGATTTCTTAACCCAAATAATGGGGAACACATTAGAAATAAGTTTATAATAAGAGCTGATATGACAGATGGTGGCATTCTTTATAAACATGACGCATTTAACGGACAAACATATTGTAATGTAAGACGTGTTTACGTCATATTTCCCCCGTGCAGGATTACTAACAGACGCTGCGTTCGTATTGGGCGTGGCCTATTTTTTTAATCTTCTTTTTACCACAAAACAATCTATCGCCTGTCTTAACTCGAAGGAGTTACTAAATTTTTGTAAATTATCGAAATTGTTAGAAGATTCTAGTCACGACTACAATGTATATTCTGCCCCCGAATCTTCTTAGAAACAAGAAAGCAACACGAGGCGCTAACAGAAGAGCTGCCGAAGAACACAAAATAAAAACCAGGAAAGCCAATATTAACTATGTACCTCGAGTTTTCCTATCCACACGCTACACTTTCTGCACCATAACATCTTATGTAAGAATTGGCCCGGTGAGCCATCTGCGCACCCACAGACAGATTTAGCCCCAGCAACACTCCGATGTTTAAAAATGGTAATGTTCGATTTTCGATAGACCAAATACCATGCATATAGAGTGGCTGTTATCCAAAAAACCTACCAAATTAGTGTTGCAATCGATATTCATAAACATTATGATCTATCATGTTTGAATTTGTAGTAATATTTTCATTTACATAGCATATATTTCTGACAGGATATGGGAATATACTCTCCATTGATCTAAGTAAAATGAAATTTTAAGATCTATAAAGCAGATATCAGACTAAACTATGTTGTTTTCATTTTGTGTGTGTGTGTTCTGTTTGTTCATTACTGAATTAAAAAAACGTATTTTTGCATGAATAGTATCGACCTTCATATTTTGAACCTTCATAATGTTATTATTATGTGTGTGCATGTGTGTGTGTGTGATGCTTTTTCCCTTTTAGCATAATATATAAATTTTAATTCCCTTATGTTAACTTCGATCTTGCTCGTTCTTTGGGGGGGGGGGGGGGGCTGGCTGTCAAAATCTTTGGACGGCTAATTGACCAACTTCACGTCAACCTACTGAACTGCAACGTGGCACATAGACTCGTTGACAATGACTATACATTCCTTCAAAATTTCAGTCTCATCTCCCAAATTAATTTTTCCCTTTTTTTTTTTTTTTTTTAATATGGTAAGTGCGTTTGGTGGCCTGAAATCTTAGCGAAGACGAAATTATCATGAACTTAAATCAGGGCGAAGAACTCAGCATTCGCCGAAACAAGTCAAATTGGATATTCAATGAAGTTTTAAAAATTTGCATTTGCCTTGAATTTTGCAAATAATATCAACAAGTTAAGTGGACATTCAAGTGATCGCGTAGGATTATATCTGCTCGAACCAGTCTTCAGAAGATATATGGACAAACAAAGGATGAATATGGATGGAGAATACGAACCAAAGAGGAATTGTGTAGTCTATATAAGGATCCCACGCTAGTAGAAGAAATAAAAAAAGGGCAGGCTACGCTGGGCTGGACACTTAGAAAGAAAGCCATACGAAAGAGGAGAGTAGAGGGCGCACCACTAAAACCCAAGAGTTAAACTACTCAAAGGCTGACCAATTCTTAGATGGATGGATGGTGTGGAGAGGGATCTGCAGCAGTTGGAAATCAAAGCATGGAAAAGCATTAATTAGGTCTCAGTGAAAGGAAGTAGTGAGGCAGACCAAAGACCTATGTGGGCTGTAGCGCCGCATGGATGGAACAAGTCTTCACTTATGGTCGTCCTTACGTGCATTATTGAAGGTTTTAGTTAAAGTTACATCCTTTATCAGGTAACAAAAGAGATTAAGGCCTCACAGACGATCAACAAAAAATATTGACCTAAAGTAACGTTTACTTGAGTGAATTGTGAGTCTTGATGTAGACATTAGTTTGACTTGAGTTACATATGTATGAGAACTGCCTACAAATTTTAACACTGTAAAATGTTCCTATACGGCTATATCTTATTATCTATAATCAATATTGTTACGCACTGCCTTCTATTGTGAGAAATTAATCTCTTGTTTTAAGTTATTGGCTCGTTCTAAACAGTACCTAACAAAGGACGATACCATAGAGAAATGCAATAGCAAAAATACGACACGCAAAACAGTACTAATTACATTTAATAAGATTTTAAAGTATTAATATAATTGCAAAACAAAAGAAATATAACTACAATCATCAACTTACATAGTATGAGAATTCTTGTACCCGTAAACAGTTAGTACAATGTGCCAATTAATAAAGTACAATGATGAATGCGAATAAACACATATGAGTACACACAGAATAATACAGTTGTGAAAAATATCTATCAATCCATCTCTTGTCTTTTCATTCCTCCGGCTTAGTAGAGGGGTCTCAGGATTTCTAAAATATATATTTTAAAAAAATATGTTTGTTTCATTTCTTTATAAATCGTTTTTCTTTATATATATATTTATATATACTTATATATTTATGAATATATTCGTAATGTAAACTGAATACCAATTTGAGACTTAAATTACAAGTATTGTTTTTTTTTCAATTATATATCTTTCATCTAATTATAGAAAATCATGTTTTCTTGATCAATCTTTTTTTTACATTATGAGTTAACTTTTAAATACAAATCATCGGAAGCCCAATCTTCTCATTTCAAATTAATCATTTCCGACGACATTTAATATAAAACAATTAGACACCAAACGAATTTATTTTTTTAACTAACCCATTTTGCACGAAAGCTGCGACAAGAGCAGAAAACAATGTCTTTAACTGATAATCTTCCTCTTCAAAATCCCCTGTCACATAAGGCTCGCGAGCCTGGCGAACAACGTCCATATCGATATCAAACAGATACAGCACATCAAAATTAAAAATCATTCCGTGAACACCATCCTTCAGGTATTTAGGGTAGTGATTGAAGTACAGGAACCATCCATTGGTTTGTTTGCTTCGAGCCAGCGTCTCCAAAAATGCGTAGGTTTGAATAGTGTATTTCCCATCAGTCTGCAACTCAATTATAGGATCAAGGTGAGAGTTGGTTTGATACCAATATGTAATTTTGAAGCCAACTCGTCTGACACGCTCTCAATATTCAACTGGGACGCTATTTTGTCTTTTGCCCACTGTAAACTATAATCATGCCAAAGCTTCAGCTTTTCCCTCTCGGTAGCGTCTGACTGCTTTTTAATAGCACTCTTTACGTATTTAAATATTTCACCCCAGAAGAATTTTTCGTTATTGTTAAAAGTTATGAAATATTTCCTATCATAGAAACCAATATTTTCTAAGTAGGTATCATCTTGGAGAAGAGCTGGAATTGATTTATTTATGAAATCGCCATCTATCACTGGAATAAATGTACTCCACAAATTTATTAAACTTTCATTGAAAAGTTCCGTTTTAGAAGGATCTAAAGTTGGCAGAGAACGTAGGCATTGAAGGATGTTAAGTTTATCGTTAAGGTCTAAATCAGTTGAATTATTATCATGCCAGCAATTTAGTGACTGGGCAAAATCACTGATCATTTTGTCCCC